CAGTACATTAAAGGAGTAGGTAGTTTTCAGAAATATTCTATACATTGAGTATAATTAGTACAATACTGTTTCTTGCACATTTAGTTACATATAGATCTGTATTTTCAAACTAAGCAGCATAATTTAACAATTTTATATAGATCAATCCATATGAAACCATATAAAAGTGAATAAAGTTAACTAAAAAATATGCAAGACTCTATTCCATATGCAATACTGTAGAATACTTTATTTTCGCTTGGAATTAATTTTCACTGCAGGAATGATTCAGTGAAAATAAAATCCAGCGAATATACTTTTTTTCCTATACACTGTATTTTAAATTCAACTTGTCGAAATTCACTGAAAATAAGTTTCATACAAAACACCCAAAAAGTTTTTTCAGCATAAATTAATTCCAGCTAAAAAGTATTTTACAGTACCCAATGTTGATGGAGGCTGAGTGATATCAGTTGAATCTCTTTATGTTCCCATCCGTTTTTATGCCAGCCTGAGTCTCATAGCTGTTTTTCTGGGTGAAACACCAAAGCAGTGTGACTGTGTTGGACAGCTTCATTTCCTCAGCATGGAACAAATGTTATTAAGGTAGAAGCAGACGTATAAATTTTGAGAAAGTTTGTCATAAATTGCATGATAATGTTCATTGCAATTATCTACAATCTATACAGATCAATGGTAAAATAAAACATTCTTCAATGTCTTATACACTGTAGTTAAGTATTCTTAAAAAAAAATATTTCTAATATTCCATAGAATACATAATTTTTTGTCAGATTTTTAAAATCATAATATTGCTTGAGAGTATAATAAAGTATTAAATGTGTACTTTATTTATCATCTGGCATGGTATTTATTTATTTTTATTTACCTACCTGACCGTAAAATTAAATTACCCAGTCAGCCAGTGTCTTACTCAGGGCGTTGCCCTCCTCACTTAGTGACCTGGGCAATATCCTATTCATAATGCCCAGAATATATAATAAATATGACAGTTTTGGGGCTTTCACAGATAAAGTCAAAGTGCAAGAGACAAAGTTTTCCATTTCCAGTCAATCTGTCTGATTGCTGAAGTTTTAAATTATTAAATTGCTGCAAACTTAAAATTCTTGTATTAGTCTCAACCCCCATTCTGACTACACAATGGATCTCAAGATGAGAGATGCAGAAAACCTGCACATTTCGCCAAACCAAAAAATCCAAACTTTTAGGCAATTTACAACAAATAGCATATACCGATATTACTGATTGAATTCCAAATTTTTAATGATATTTTAAGATTTCCTTGAAAACCATGTCAAATTTGAGGCAAAAAAAATTAAAAACCCTTGCCAATCAATGTTGCGCAACATCGATGGTTAATAAACCACCATATGATATCTGTTTATATTTACTTATACACAGAAATTAGCTTGCATTCCGAAAGAATTGTGAATTTGAATTGCCACAACTCCAAACTGCCTAAGGTGATATGATAAGGCCTTTAAATACAACAAAAGAGTTTTGTTTGTAAATAATTGTGTGCATAGTGCGAGTGTTTTAATAATTATATCATCACAATTTCTGTACATTTAACACTTGCACATATCTAAATACAATTTTACACCTACACACCCAAATATGACCCATACTCACACCCAAATATGACACCTACACACACACCCTTGTGCACACCAAAATATGACACATATGCACACCCAAATATGATTTGAAATAGCAGTAAAAAACATGGCTAACTGACAAGATTGAGATTGAAGCCACTAACATAACTAACAGTGTTCTCCCCAGGAATTATGGACATCATGTCATTTCCATAACAATACAACCTAATGTATAATGATAATTGGAGTATTTTGGGACAATGACCTTTGTAAGCATCAGAATAACTTCTATTGTTTTCTGTAAAGTTTGATCACAGTAAATACACTGTGCTTAAAAATGCATGGGAACAGTGATCGGGGCTGCCTCAGATAAAATAACTTCATCACACAAGACACAACTCAGCAGTATTTTCTTAAAACAGACAATATTGTTGTTTGATTGTTTGACTGAAATTCATAATGTAAGTTATTAGTAATGACTGCATTACTCATGAGTGATGATACAGTGTAGCATGATATTTATTCAGCTTATACCTGTGAAATGTCCCTAATATTGTACTACACAATGTATTTGTAAAGATTTATGCTTGTACAATATAATAGATGATAGATATATCCTTCACTAAGAGAAAATAACTGCCACAATTACAAGGCATTTAAATTAATCTAATCAATCTTATTCACTATCTAAAACTATTGCCTGAGTTCAATCAATGTGTATTCACACCCAAGGTACATGCCACACATCACCCTGGTCTTTTTTTTTGTCACCTCTAAATAGTAAATTAGTCACCGAGCTATTGTTACAGTTTTAAAAAGGTCAATTTCATATAGCAACTGCTATGACTGGTGTGGTTTCTATTCAACCTATTCTAACTGCGGTACTTATTAATTTTATTTCATTTATCAGAACTACAGAAAAATTTAATTTTGTTCAAGCACAAGATGTATTATAGAGTGCCAACCATACATACATGTATGCAATGGAATGACACCATATATGAAAAGGTGCAGCAGTCCAATACTGAAGATGATGATAACAAAGTCACAATGCAAGTGACAATAGTTACCATATCAACTCAATTTCAAATGAGTGAGTGAGTGAGTGAGTAAATTGCCATCTGGTATTATGGCATCTGGCCAAAAACAAATATCAAGTAACCTTATCCAAACTATTAACATAAAACAGTAAATATATCAGCTGATTAACAACACACACATGCAATCCAAGACAAACAAAACGAACACTGAAGCTGTAAGGCTACCAACTGCAGGCACATACTGTCAATATTATCAATATATTTTAAGTGAGGTTCTTATTCAAGGCTGGGAAGTTGGAGATAAGAGCACCAGCCTTGGAAGATGACAAGGAAATATGGGAGACTATCATGTCATTAAAACAGTAATGGCCAGCACAAGAGCCCATTAAAGTCATTGACACTCATTACTCATAAGACAACAGTATGAAGGGGGTGGCTTTTTAAACAATATTCATTCAATTTGGATAAACTACCCACAGAGATAGTATACAAGTAATTAAATTATGGCAGTATTAAACCACTACAATGTATCTTGGAACATTCCACAACCAAGCACGACCAAACAACGTCTACAATGCACCTACACTGTCTACAACACACTGTAGTGACTGTACATATAGCAAGACAACACTGTCTACAACACACTGTACATATAGCAAGACAACACTGTCTACAATACACCGTACATATAGCAAGACAACACACTGTACAGATAGCAAGACAACACTGTCTACAACACACTGTACATATAGCAAGACAATACTGTCTACAACACACTGTACATATAGCAAGACAACACTGTCTACAACACACTGTACATATAGCAAGACAACACTGTCTACAACACACTGTACATATAGCAAGACAACACTGTCTACAACACACTGTACATATAGCAAGACAACACTGTCTACAACACACTGTACATATAGCAAGACAACACTGTCTACAACACACTGTACATATAGCAAGACAACACTGTCTACAACACACTGTACATATAGCAAGACAACACTGTCTACAACACACTGTACAGATAGCAAGACAACACTGTCCTACAACACACTGTACATATAGCAAGACAATACTGTCTACAACACACTGTACATATAGCAAGACAACACTGTTTACAAAACACTGTACAGATAGCAAGACAACACTGTCTACAACACACTGTACATATAGCAAGACAACACAAAGTCACATTTTTCATATCTAATCACATTCACCAGACCCAATTTTAGTAACAGATAATTCATTTTAACTCAGTGGAAATAATGACATTTTAACTTGTAAGGTCAATGATTGTCTGATGACCTACAGTAAAACTATGTAATATAAAAACAACTTGGGTTGTCACATAGTTGCAGTGTGTCTTTGTCTAGAATCTACATGTAGTCTTAGTCTTATCTCTTGAAGACAACAGTTACAGGTCATGACAACAACCACATTGCTTCCTGTAATGTATTTTTATTCTGACTTGCGTACAATTACACACAAGTATCCATACTTTTGTACAATTACGGAGTTAAAAATATTCCCTTACACTTCACTTGTAAAGAACAACTGATTAACACAACACTTAAATGAGCTTTAATACAACAGCCCTGGTCCACAGTCACAGAAGGAATTCATGCCTATAAGAGTCTAATTTGCATAATTACAGTGTTCTCCATTCTGTCTGCACTACAAAAATAAAATTCTATTGTATGATCATAACTATCCACATACCCATTTATTACTACACAGATGATAAGCAAAAATTAAAACAGCTGCTGAAGACAATTCACATTTCAATTTTCATATTAAATTCATATTTCAAATATCTTTAAACTTTTTTGAATGTTAGTATTTTCGCACAGTGTGGGGAAGGGGGATCCTGAATGAACTAGAGGAATGTGTATCAGGTTTTTGTTTATTCAAGATGTACTATGCTGCAACTGAACTCAAGTTCAGTGGAAACTTTGTCTTTTCAATTATTTTCTACAGAAATATTAACCCAACTAATGAAAAATATATTTAATATGCAATATTTTAAACCAGAATGTTTATTCCACATACTCTGGCGTATGTTTATCCCTACTGCTTCTGACACATAGGATACTCCAGGAAGCGTTGGAAGAGCCCTTCCTTGGGAAGCACACTCAAATAGATCATATGGAAACGTTTTGGGATGCCAGTGACTAACTACGAACCGACAAACCCACGAAATGATCTTGGGATCTGTCAGAAGGTCACCGAGTCAGTGGGAGGGGTGCCTACTACCTAAATAGCTAACCACTGTGATTCCTACATTGTATTCAGATGTCGAATTTCATTCTAGTGAGGCCCTCAATGGATTAAGGGGAATAAACATAAATACCTTGTAAACTTGACCGTATGTGCCATTGCCAACCACTTCCATTAAATCGAAGATACCAGCTGGGTCCTAAAGAAAAGGATCCACACAAAAAGAAATCAGGATTGTGGTTTTAAGACAAGACGCGCTGCCCGAACATGGATGAATCCGTTCGGCTATTCATTGAAGATAACCATTGTCCAGTCACAATAATTTTCAACTTCGGTGTTTTGCTATGCACGATCAGTCTTGTAATGGCGTTAACAGCAAGTCCCGACGACGGATAATCCATTAAAATTACATTTGACGCTAGCCAAACTCTTCACACGATAAAAACACTCACACTATTCGAACCACGGCAACGAAGTTTTAACTTACCCGCAAACTGGCCAAATCGATGTCGTCCAAACTACACATGGTACTCTGCGATGCCATTTTGAATGTTCACATTCGCAGATCAGTACAAACGAAGCTCGCTTTTTGTGGCAGTTTTTTTCCCAATAAACGGCAGTGTAACGTCACCTAAACAGCATCTGCGGAAAACATACGAACTATTTCCTATATAAACGAGGAGAGTCGGGTCACCCTTCGCCGACAGCTTCCGCCGAATTCATGCAGTCTGTCCACGGAAGTCTATGTACGAACATCCGCAATCATCATTCAGAGGCTAACCATCACATCATCTGCATAATCAACAGAGGCGAGGCGGGGCGTCGCTCAGATGCATTATGGGTATGGACCGAACTCACAAGCTATTGTCATAACATATCTAAAGGTCGGGCCCCATTATAAGACATAAGTTATCACATTCGGAATATATTATTATCATTATTACAAACTATATGAAATGTATATACTCGCATACGTACACATCATGAATAAAGAAATTAACTATTCCATACAGAAGCATCAATATCATTACAGTAGTAACAGTTTATTTTTGTTCGGTTTGTTAAACATCGTTTTCAAAATAAAAAAAAAGTTTTTTTTACTATGTAGTACCTTTCGATGTACACCACCGAATAAAGCAAATTGTTTTGTGAATACGTCAATACATAGCCGAGATCAACAACAGCGCCCTCACTCACATCAAGTACGAGTATATGAGTGGCAGTCTCATTAACATTACATCAACATTCTGCTTATTTTTATTTAAACCCTGTACCCTCTTTAATAGTCATTACTTATTTACAAGGGGTTGATACAAAAAAATTATAACCTAAATATTAAACTTTACAACAACGAAACACAACAGTCATCAAAATATCTAAGCTTCAAACTAAACTTGAACGAGAAAACAGAGGAAGAACTCAATTCTCAATGGAACCCGGTGGAGCTAAAACTAAAACGTGATGACAACTATTATTGATTTAAAAACCAGGATAACTAAATAATATTGTATTCTGTTCAGTAAGCTGAGTAATTTTGAGTAAGGTCCTTTTCCTTTGAGTATCCTTCCTAACTCCTGAAATAATACGCCCCGCACTGTTAGTCTATACTTACGTCCGCATTATCAATTAAAGTAACACCAATAATCAAAGTTAGATAGTATCAAACTATTAAGAATAGTTGAAAAGATACCTTTGGCATTCAATTTTACTAAAAATAAATTGAATTAATGTTGGGTTTCCATGACAGTGAACTATCTACGATTAAAATTGTCAACTTGCTTTAAAATGCATCCTTTAGGCCCAATACTAAATTTCAGCAACTTTGACTAATTTAAATATTTTGAAATTTAATGGACAAGAATTTTAAACAGTGTTAAACTCTTCAATGTAATGTAATATGTTTCATGCAAACTGTAAATGTTCGATAACATTATCGACCTCAGAAAACAAAGTTTATGATAACACTTATTTGCCAAAACCGAGTCAAAGTAACTATAATTAAAATCAGAAATAGAAAGAGGCTTTTATCATTTTCAAACAATCTCTATTTATTACACATTTGCCAGGAATGCAAATGTATTACTGGTGAAACTTCTAATTATGTCTTTAAGGTAGTATCATTTTATGTATGGTCAATCATAACAAAACTACTTCTTGAGCTCAGTATTTCAGCGATGGTTCTAGGGACGCAGTCAGCCGGTGTGTATTTCAGCAATGGTTCTAGGGACGCAGTCAGCTGGTGTGTAATCACTATAATCATAAATACATCGGGTGACAATTTTCCTAAAATTAACTGCAATCATTGAATGCAGCTGTATGTTTAAGTTGTCTTCTGATTATATACCAAATTATTTTGCTTTTAATGTATATTAAAAAAAATAATTTATTCCACTTGTCACAACTTCTCTGTTAATACACATGTTGGGAGATAATTATACAGCTTACCAGTTAACAAATCATTTGTCAACTTGGCAAGCGAGGGCGTAGATCAGTTGAAGAAGCGCGCCAAAAACCAGGCATAATCTTTTCGCTTTCTCCGATATCAGTTAATATCACAGCGAACTTACCATACGATACAGGAACAAATATAAATTACCATACATTGTAATGCATGTGTAAATGTTTTGTTTTTTTTGTCAACAATTTGTAAATTGTAACGCATCAAATGTTGCAGTAATGAGCAAGATTGGCTGTTATACTCTTCAGTTCTGTAGATCAGTTAGAATTGTGAAAAATTTACACCTCGGAACGTTCAACGTATAAATGTTATCTACCGGTAATTGAAAAATAGTCCAGCTAAATTGGGAAACATTTGTTGGGTCAGTAGAGTTTATCATCTAGTGCAGGAATGGGAGTAGTTTGTTTGAATCAAATGGTTGGCAATGTTAGGTTTTTGCAGTTATTTAGATAACATTGCTGGTATATAGAAATCCTAACTTTGCAATTCACATTACACGTGTCATCAGAACTTATTACTCATAACTTTTGGTATAAATCTGCCTTGATCAAGGAAATCTCAAGTTTGAATTTTCTAAATTCAGTGTGTCCATTTATATTCACCACATTGAAATTGACAGACATTTGTGAAAAACTAGATTAGTGTCTATCTGGAAGAAAATTAATTCTGTTTTACAGTACAAATTTCATGCCAGCCAGCCGACACTTTAATCCAGTCACCACACTAACAGTTTCAACTTGAGTAAACTGAGTTGAGCACTGACAAGAAACACTGCTAATTAAGCTAACAGGATTGCAATGTCTGCCATTGGCTTTCAAATGATTGTAGTTTTAGATATTAAAAATTACTTTATAAAAAGACTCGACCAGTGCTAACATTTGCTTCCATACAGTGAACTCTGCTAGTGGCTTTGACCACCAATCAAAATCAGTGTCGCACAACAATTACTAAGAACCCTGCACAATCAGATACCGGTACCTCAACTGCACACTTATGAAAGACTTACCACAGGTTTGTGGCAGAGGGATTAATGCATACAATACAGAGTATAGTCCATTTGCCACATCCACAATATGCAAATTCTGGAACTTTTACAGCTGATTAGTGTTGATTAATATCATATGAAGGCTTTTACAGCATATTGTAATTTGTTTGCAGCTTTGTCCAGAATGAAAGTCATGAAGGGCCGTTGACAAGACAATGCACTTCTGTGGCCCAAATTTATTTCATGCACCATGCAAGCTATAATCTGCTAATTGACAACCGATGGGTTGCAAGCAGTACTCAAATCTTGTGATCTAATGGCTTCCTGGAATGATGCTTGCACCACTGCCATGTCAGCCAATTGGCAGTCGATATAGCTGGCGAGGTGTACAAAACAAATTTGTCACAACGTAAAATACATGTAGATTAGGGTGGAAAGTCTGACAATGAATTTCATATGCAGGCTCTTCCAGAATATAAATTCACTGTCTCTGGTAGTTCTTTATATCACAGTAAAGCCTGCATAATGTGGCTTTATTCCATACATCTTATTTTGTATTTTAGCACATCACATCACATTTTTTTTTTACCCCCTCATACGTTATCTTTTACCCTGGTAAATAAAACACGATTAATAATTCAAGACAAATCATTTTGCGTACAAGTAAATGTTTTTTTAATCTTAAAAACAAATTACATGTCCAGGTTATTATTCTTTGTCTTTTATTTTCTTTGCTCCACGGAGTCGACCTGTACGGCGAGCAGCAATGAGACCAACCTAAAAATAATATGTACAATACTGTCAAATAACATGAAAACACTCAGTGTGAACTAGTTATTCTTGGTAGAAATTTCCACAAATTATTCCGCCAGGAAAATCACAAAATATTGTAGCAGTGAACATTTCATTGGAAATTATACTCAAAAATTGATAACTGTAAAAAAACAGTTTGCTTTATTAGTGAGTTTAGTTTAATATCACTTCTACTAGCATTCATACAGTATTTGTTCTATTACAATTCCCAACTATAAGGCAGCACAGGGTTCTAGCCACGTTATCTGTAAACACATGCCCTCTAATACAGCAAACATGGTAATCACTTCATGTCGTAAATAACAAGTCATTGTCAATGACACGTCCCCGTTCCGTTCATATTTGAGTGACATATACATTCAAAGCAGATCATGACCGAAATGCACCTGCATATGTACAACACATTGTGCTAAATCTGAACAAAATCCA